TAATTGTTGTTGATTGCAGATGTGTCTAGTAGTTCCCATTGATTTTGCTTGTAAAGCGGGGAGAATGGCGCTAGGCTTACCGCAGCCAGACATAGTTATTGTGACAAAAAATACTTTTTTATTTTTTTACTGATTAATAATCGTTAAATCAACAGGAACGTTTTAGTTTTAGGTATAAATAATGATCCATTGATTATTCCTTGCTGACTGGACTTTTTCTTTAATATAGATACTAATGCAATCAATGCTTAAATGGCTTGAGACACAAATGAGACTTGATTTTACTTTATTTTCTCTTTCATCCTGTTTTATTGTTATTATTTCTCTGTCTTATTTCATTGGTTTTAATCTTCATATGTTGTTGTTACATGTTTAGCTTTATTAATCTATCTGAATGATTTTCTGCTTTTCTTTGTTTTGTTATCTTTGATCTTGGCTTCAGCTTTGGCTGCTATTAAAAAAATAAACTTATTGATGAAGAGTTTTCTGTCCCAGCTCTGAAAATTGTAAGGTATATTCGATTTGAATTTATTGCTAATTAAAACTTATTGTGAAGATAAAATTTTATGTATTTAATCTACATTTATCTCATTCATAAAAAGGGTTTTATTTCATGACTATTCTATTTTTTATTGAAATATTTGATAATAATTGTAAGCTTTATCTGTTTTATTGTCTTTGCAAATGTACATTCTGTCTTCTCATTTATAACCCATCATTCTTAGGGAGCAGCAAGCAGCCCAGGAAGCATTCTGGGGCTAAAGATGTTACTCAGGGACTCCAACTGCCTTTAAACTTTATCATGTTAAACATTTTTAGTTCATGTGTTCAAATTTGATTTTATATCTGTGTTCAGGGCTCAAAATTATCCTTTTGACTCACCGGTCAAGCACCGGTCAAGCATGTTTTTACAAGCCAGAACAAAAAAAATGTCCTCATATTTTTAGGGGACATAAAATAGAATTAAACTTTGTCAATACATTGTGAGAAGTACAATGCAGCTAAATGAACTCTCTGCATTTAACCCATCCCCTTGATGAGCAGTGGGCTGCCATTGTGCAGCACCCAGGGAGCAGTTAAGACCCAGAGTGGCAGTCTGTGGGAGTGGTCCAGCAGTGCATGTGTCGAGCCCACGTAGCAAAACACTGTATCGGTGTGAGTGTCGTTTCAAGACAGTCATGTGACCCATACAGGAGTTGTTTCTAAGTGACTGACTCACTAAACTGCATCTCCAAAAAAATGTCTCATCTTTTGCGGTTTATCAATAAAATTATCAAAATTTTGGAGCAGCCTAAAAGCAATAGGAACATTCCAGCCGTTGCGTTTATTTTAATTTTCTCACTGCATCATCCTTTTCCTCTAAGTTATCACCCAGCTTATCTGAATTCAAGTTAATTTCAAATTGACTCTTAGTTTATTTACTCTTTTTACTGTATAACTGATTTGTATTGTTTTAAAAATATGACTTAAAATCCTAGTCCACAAGAATCCTCATTCAAATTTTCCACTAAATGTTCACATTATGATATATGTTCACATTATTTATTGAATGCATCTGAAAATATCAAAAATATTTTTAATTTAAACATGAATATGAAATAATATAATATAACCTACAATAACGTAAATTCTATCATTGTACCAGGTCATCAAATCAATTCAGTGTACCGGGTAGTCTTTCCAATCAGCTGCCTGTAGTGTCTTTAAATGTCCAGCAGGTGTCAGTATTGTGTGAGGCAGTATCAATGCAGCATCAATACAGTTTGGCTTCAAGATGCCTCATTAACCATCACTACTCTGAATCATTAAGTTATTTTGCAATAAAGTTACGGTAAAAGGTAATGTAGTTTAATTAAATAAAATAATTTCAAATGTTAATAAATTTCATTCTAAAAAGTGCAAAATTATTTTATCTGATAGTGACCATAAATAAAACCATCCAAAAAAACAGCAAATAATTTTCATTTGTTATATTGTCTATAAATAAATGCATAGGCTGTCTTCCAGTGGCATGGGCAGTGCAAAACAATATCCTCCTCTTTGTGTTGATAAAGCCATCAATGCTCTCACAGCTGCTGCAGCATTGGGTTGTTTATATTGAGCCTCAGACGTGAACATCCAGTGAATGTTTCATTTACAGCGTTTTGTGTTCACTGATGCTCTCTAGTTTCTACAACAGAGTATTATAGCCAGGCTAGAGATTTTTTATTTCTATTTCGAAAAAAGAGTTGTAACATTGCAAGAATAAAGTCATAAAATGACAAGAATAAAGTCGCAACGGGAATAGTCATAAAATTATCAGTATAAAGTCATAAAATTATGAGAAAAGTCATAACACAACGAGAATCAAGTCCTAAAACTACAAGAATAGTCATAAAATCACGAGAAAAAAGTAGTAATATTATGAGAATAAACTTGTATTTTATGACAACTCTTACAAGATGCACTGTCCTCCCTAAAGGAAGAAATGTGGAGCATCATGTGAAGTTATACTTTAGCATCAGTTTGACTAATCAGGAAAGTCAAAGTGGACTCTGGTTGCTGATTGGTGGAGCTGGTCGGACGTCATCTGCTGCTCAGAGCTGTTATGCCAATATGCCATGATCATACTTTTTGGACATTGGGAAGCAGTGTCCATATTTCATCCTGATAGGATGACCAGAGAAGAAAACGCAGCTTTGGTGAATAACAGCTGGGGGACTTCTCCAGCCCCCCTTTTTCAGCCAAAGCAGCCACAAGCAGTCACATGTGAGCCACCAGAGGTGTGAAAACCTACCCCTTCCCTGTGAGGGCAGAACAAAACCACAGAGCACACAGGATTCTCTCGTTCTCCCTCTTCTGATCCAGCCTGCTTCTGCTCCTGCGCTCAAAGCTGGGGCCCACTGTGGCCCACAGTGGAGATGCAGGCCCCAG